CTAATACATTTTCAAAAACTTTTCAAGTCTGTCTTAAAGTGAAATTTTCATATAAAATGATTTATCATCTATTTTAAAGTTAAGTATTAAATCTCCTTGCCTGACAGATAGTTGGAAAGAAAAGAAACTAATAGTTTCCTACTAGAAAAGAAACTAAAAGGAAATATTTTAGGAGGAGAAAAAATGTATTTTTAGTGTATACAGTAATGTATCACCTGGAAAACAGAGACATTGTGTTTCTTGTATTTTAAGCATTAAATTTGGCATTTCATTCTTATGAAGGGTTGTTGTCCCTTCTTAGGAATTTTAGGTAGGTGTAAATTGTCAGGAGCACAACATGCATATTGAACACATAAGTCAACATTTCAGGGTGAAAGCTGATACAAGGAGAAAAACATGAATTTGTTAGATTTTAGCTTTTTTTTTTTTAAGGAAATAAGAATGCAAGGGGTCCTATGATCAATAAAAACAGACTCTGTGTCACAGCTGTCCACCAGAGGTTGGCTCTATGAGGCAATAGCATCCAAATGAAGAGTCACAGTATGTCTGACAGGCTCAAAGATCTTACTCTTGAGGACAGGCACAAGGAGCTTATCTGACAAGAAAATATGTGGCTAGAAGTTGATTTTTTCTGTATACTAAAATTAACACAATATTCATAACAATTAGGATTAATGTGCAGGCACAAGATATTTCAGTCAATCTGAAAAAATCAAACCCTTCCAAACTGAAAAACTCTGATGAATGAAAAATTAGGAAATAAAATATATTAACATTTAGGTTATCTGGAAACTACAGCGTTAGCAGATCTAAGCATCTAGAATGATTCCAACTATTAAAGTTAAAGGGTAAACAAATTGTCTTTGATAGCAATGATTGAGGTTTGGGGCAACAAGTAGACAAAATTAGATGAGGAAGGCCTACCAGACATTTCTTCTTTGTTGCTAGTAGCAACACTAATTTAGGAGGAGATGAAGGGAGCCAGAGTTGGGGAGGAAGGATAAATTATGGTTTCATAAATAATGAATAATCTGTTTAAGAAGACAGGAAAGCCTGAGGCATATTTTAGAAAATTTTCTGAGAAAACTGGGTGCATAATACATTAGTTAAGTTGAAAACATCATATTGAACAACAGTTCCTAATTATGCTGACTGAGATATTAATGGAGGAATGAGCAAACATTGATTGAATGTTGACTCTGACCCTGTTCTGGGCACAAGACTGGCAACAGTGAATTTCAAGAATTGTTTGATAAATATTTACCAACAATAAATAGGTGTTACAGTTTTCACATAGGCCCTTGAAAGACCATTTTTCAGTACAATAGACAAGAATGGGAAAATGCAAAACTATGATCACAATTTCATTGTAATAGCTGTTCAGTAAATATTTATTGGCTTGAATTTATGCAAATAGTATGCCAAAAAAGAAGCTAAAATTCTACTCCAGACAATATCAGGAATTGATGAGTGTTTTTATTTATTTTGGGGACCTTCTTGGTCTCTCATCTCATTTTCCATAGTCACTTGGTCACTGTCTTCCTCAAGAACAAAATCCAATTGGGTGTTGTCAGGAAAACATGATTTTTTCTGGTAAGTGATCAAGGCAGGGAATTATAAATCTCTAAAGCTCTGCGCTTACCCTGATTAAGTTCTTAAAACACACACCCAACTAAGATCATGTTCCTCATTTATTACTGAGGAAGGGTCTTAGCCACCTGAGGATTCTTGAATTCTTTTAAGTCTGCCTGAAAGCATCGAAAGTACAAGAAATGTTTTCTACTTGAAACACTCACCTTGTACATTGAAAACAATTCTTTTGAATACCATTTTGGATTCTTGAATTTTTATTTATTCAATAATGTTATAATCAATAACAGTTATTTTTTATTTTTATGATCAAATTATTCCACATTTGGTTATAAGAAGCCCCTTTAAGCTGACTGGCTCCCGTGTTTTAGAGAATTCCCCATTGATCTTTGGGCACAGTATTGTAGTCATTCAATATTTTCCTGCTCCAGACATGGAATTCACCATTTCTCTAAAGAACTCTGATTTCTTTGGGTGGGGAATGATATTTAGAAACCAAGATCTGGGTGCTAGATGTGCTCATTGTCACTGGGTGCCATTGTTTCTGGGCCCTGTCAGAGATCAGAGGAGCTAAGAAACACAGATTTTTGTTTTTGTAAATAGGTTAATTGATTTTAAAATTTATATAAAATTAGAAAAAGATCTAAATAGGTAAAATAATCTTGAACAAGGCAAATATACACTACCTGAAATCAAGACTTACAATAAAGCTTCAGTAGTCAAGATAGAGGGGTAATAAGATAACCAGATCGATGGAACAAAACAGGGAGTCCAGAAATAGACACACACATATGTTTAGTTGATAACTGACCAAGGTACCAAGTTAATTCAATGAAGGAAAGGAAAGACTTTTTATAAATATTGTAGGAACAACTACATATCTGTATGGAAAAGAATGAAACTTGACCCATGTATGTAGTTTTAAATCATGAGTTCAAGTTGATATTTCTAGGTAAATATTAATTTTATAGAGTTTTTACTTAATTTCTTTGATTTTGATATTTGTGTGTCTCTTTTCTCTTACACTGAAAATCTTAGTCTTAATAACAGTTAATATTTCTTTGCAGATCTTTTTGCCCTTAGAATGCATTTATCAGAATACTATCTTTAAAAGTCACATGAAATAATTATTTTTTCCATATATTATGTTACCAATTAGATATATGTTTGGGTTCATTAGTTTATTGTTTATTTATTTTCAGTTACCAGGTTTTTTTTCTTTTTCTTTTACTTTTTGAAGATGTAAAACATTTAAATGGTTCAAAAGTCAAAACTATATTAAAAGGTATACTTGGACAGGACCCTTTGCCACCGCTTATCTGTTCTACCTCATTCTCTATCCACTTAGACATTAATTTTGGCTTTTGATTTATCCTTCCAATGCTTTTTTTTTAAAGTAAGCAAATAAATATGTATTTTATGTTCTGTCCATTGCTTTTATATTTAACAATATATCTGGGAGATTAGGTCAAATGAGGAAACAGGAAATTTTCTCATTATTTCTATGGTTGCATAGTACTGTATAGCACTACATCATATAGATATATACTTGATTCAATAAATTACTTTTAGATGTGTACGCATGTACCATATCCAATCAGATCCCATTAAACAATCACACTAGGTTCTATCCAGTACCTGGCAGTATTCATTTTCTAGTCCATTCCTTTTTATTGCTGAGTAATATTAATTCAGTATAAATATATTCCAGTTCTATTAATGCTATTTTGACAACTCTAAAAATAGAGGCTCTAACAGTTATGAGATATTTTTTGCATGTCTGCGTAAAATATGTAGGACCATTTTGACTCTTTATTCCATTTTACTTAATGAACCTTTATTGACTGCTTCTAGAGGCCCAATACTGTGCTCAGTGATGAGGATAAAAAACTGTAAATCCCCGGCTCTTCCTTCAAGTCACAATTCAGCTGAATTAGAAAGAGACAATTATGTTGTCCCAATCTGATGGAAACTACATGACTTCAAACAGTAAGTTTAAGTACAGTACTTGCTAAAATGCTGTCAAAATTTGGAGCATCAAGGGATCCAGATGCAGTAAGTAACTATAGATCTCTTGTAAGACATCTCCAGACCATCATCCATCTTAAAGTCTTGCTCCAGGTTGCAGGCGCCTGGCTTTAAAAGTCATATTGGCCTGAGTGAGAGTCAGGTCTCAGGTTCTATTTCTGGTTTTGCTATTGGATTGCTATATGGCCTTCTATGATGCAGAGGATGTGAACTTCCTACAAAGCAAGAGGCAAGATCCTCAGGAGCTCTCTGAGGCACTCATACATACTCCAAGTGAAGTTGGGTCTCAGGAAGCAAGGGACTCTGAACAAGACCAGCTCGTTCAACCGAATGCACCTGACTCGTCAGCCAGGAGCTTACCGAAAGGGTACCTGAGAGGACTGGGTGGGAGACTAGAAAAGAAAGAAATTAGAGACGAAAGCTGGGGACAGGAGGTTCACTCAGTGCTGATGTCAGAGAGTGGCCTTGTTTATTGTTTGTATACAGCTTTTATAGCAAAAGTAGCTTTTCTTAGGGGGTTTTGGGAGCAATCTCCCCGAAGTGAGACAAAACACAGCAACTAGAAACTGTTAATAGGATGGCCTTCCGCTCTGTAACATTTAAGGATGTCTGTGACGTTGGCTGTTCTTTCTTCAGGGGCACCCAGCAACCTTCCCACTCTGCTCCCCACAGGACAACTCACCCCGAGCCTAGGCATGCCCTTCCCTCCTGCCAAAGCCATGCATTTTAGTGGGAAATCGGAGTTCCAATTTTGATATGGTCAAAGGGATTTCCACTTTCTTCCTGGCTCCGTGGTGTAAATGAAGAAGCCAGAACTTAAAATGATTTGCATTTTAAAAGCCTTGAAACTTTTCTTCCTGAGATGTTTCTGTGGTGCTTGTTGCACTATAGCGAATTGCGGTGGGCACAGAGTGAACATACGGGGACCCTGGGCCTTCCAGGGTGGACTGCAGGAGGACGACGGTGAACCCCTCCCGAAACTGGAACGCCAGTCGCAGCGCCCCGCCTCCTGCATAACTACATTTTCCAGGAAGCTTTGCGGCCCACGGCGAGGGTGGACGTGATTAGAGCCCGCCCACTGACTGCCACTGTGCTAAAGTCACGCCAGTCTGATTGGAGGGCTCTATCGCGGTGCGTCCCGGGACTTGTAGTACAGCGTATACGTGGGGCAAGCTTCTTTGTGATTCGCGGCGCAGGCTCGGCGCTCCAGGCGCGTCCCTGCGAGGAGTAGGAACCGCGCACACGTGCGCAGCGCCCGAGGGGTCGGCTGACACCTCCCGTGGGGCGGGGCCGTCGGCTTTGCGTTGACACCGCCTTCCTGCCCCTCCCCTCGTGGTGGCGTGCCCGCCCCTCCTTCCTGTAGCCACAGCTTAAGCGGCAACGGCGGCGGCCGGGAAGGGGGCGGCGAGTGGCTCGCGCGACACGCGCCGGCCCCGACCCTATGCAGTGACTCGCGCGGCGCTGGCGCCTCCTGCCCCGCCGGCGGGGACCAAGCTTCCCGAGGCGGGATGTTCTCCCGAAGAAGCCACGGGGATGTGAAGAAGTCAACCCAGAAGGTGCTGGACCCCAAGAAAGACGTGTTGACCCGCCTGAAGCACCTGCGGGCGCTGCTGGGTAAGGCGCGCGCCAGGGCGCCGGAGCGCTGGGGCCGGGGGCACTGTCTTGGCGCGGGCCGGTTGAGGGTCGGGTCTGGGATGCCCGAGGGCGTGGGGTGGGGGTGGAGGGGCGTCAGACCCCGTCTCCGGGTTTCGGCATTGTTCACCGGAAAGCGGGGAACCCGGCCCTCCGGCAGTGCCCTATCTCCCTCCAGTGTAAACTTACCCCAGATTCTTACCGGGTAACCTCGAGGCAGGGCACAGCCATGATTATCCTTCCACCAGTAAATACTGGACCCAAGTGTTCCTCGCACACACACATTGAACTGTCATCTCTCCTATTTTTTAATTTTAGTTTTTCAGTCCGAGACGCTTAGTGAACTGAGACCCCAAGTATTCCTAGCATAAACTTAATTGAAATGTCTTCTCGTTCGCTCCCCCTCCCCCTTTTAAATTTTATTTTTGCTTTTGAGTCTGAGTCCCCAAATAGACTGTGAGACTCCCAGTGGTCCCAGGATAAATTTAACTGTAATATCTCTTCCCATGCCCCTCTTTAAAATTTTATCTTTATTTTGGGTCTGGCTGCTTCAGTTTCTTTGTGTCCTTGGTTGGAGGGAGGAGTGACTTTCCTGGGTTCAAGGAGGCTGCTTCTCCTTTATCGCCCGGTTGACAGTGATGGGTATATATGCCTTCTTACGTCTTTGTGAGATTGTTGGGTGGAGGGTCTGCAGAGCCCAGGTGGGCCTGCAGTTGATCAGTGATGAAGCTCACCCCGTGGATGTGAAGTGTCCACAAGGCTTCCTGTCACCTGCTGCATATGAATCTGGAGCTGGTTTGCTAGGCTGTTTTGGTTTCTATTTTCTTACTTCCTTAGTCTTAACTTTTGTTTAGGATGAAAACACGTTTGCTCTCTATAGACAGACTTGTCTTTGTGTATTTGGGGGCTGAGAAAAGGACACCTTATGTTTTATTTTAGATGCATTTTTATTCTTAAAATGAGCAAAAATTACCTGATTTAGGGCACATAGTCAGTCTTATTATGTCTGCCCTTCGAGGAAATATGGCATAAAAGAATTAATTTTATATGTGAGAATTTTAAATAAAGATCTTGTTCATGAGATTAAAAGTTGCAAATTATTTTTATTTATACCCTGTGAAGTACCTCTAAAGGGAAACTACACTCCCC